CTAGGACGTGCAAATCTTGGGCTCCTGCTACCTTTGCGGATCAGCTCCAAAGTTCATTCAAGCCTTCCACTAGCACCTAAACAATATTTTTTATCTTTGCAAACATACAAAAAGAAATAGCACCCAGTTACTTTAGCCAACTGTACTCTAGGGTGGTTGTTTCAGCCCAGTGCTATCTTTTATTTGTTATTTTTAACAGATGTAAGACCCAGCCTTCCTCCTAGAAGGATTTTAAGAAATGAGCAGCAGTTTATGAAACAACACACACAAGCCACTGTTACTTTCTAGAAAGCTGCAGGTAACATTAGCAACTTGAAAGCCTGGATCCACCACAAATATTTTACCTTTTGTGCATGTGTGTATAAACACACATGCGCACACAGACACAGAATCCCAGTTTAAGAAAACACTGTATTATAAGAAACTGGAAACAGGGCAGCAGCTCATTTGACTGCAGCACACACCCCACCACTGTGAAATCTGGAGAAGCAGCAGTAACGTGAGCACACAGCTTCGAGCAGATTTTCTTTCTGGAGACAAACTGAGTAAACACCCAAACACAATCCTTTTGTGCCGTTCAGTTGAAAGTTGCATTAAAAAAATCATATCATAAGCAGCTTTCACAGACGTTACTTTAGGTTGGCAGCAGTTGGCCACTGTCAGAGCAGAAGCTCTGGGAATTCACTATTTAAAAAAAAATAAATCAGTGCTGCTTACAGGACTGACATTTTGAATTTGGCTATCTTTCCTGTCAAAATCTTGCTGTTAAGAGACAAAACCTTTCACTCCCTGAATCCCAGAAGAGCAAAACAGCCACAGGTAAAATGCAGGAACCAGCCCTGACCGAGTGCAGTAAGACAAGCAAGCACAATGCAAGAAGCGCCACTGAGTGGCACCGTGATATTCACAGCAGCCCTACGGAGGGTGTTAGGGTTCAACAGCAGCGATCACACACTGGGGAGGTGTAAGAGACAAGAAGCCAAGCCAGGACAAAAACACTTATCCACGAATGGCAAGAGCAGCACCTCAACAGATCTCCTGAGGAAGGATGGATCAGCAAGCAGGACAGTGCTGAGAGCTACGTGCTAGGCTTCACATCAGGTGTTTGTGTGTAACTGCAACTCAGACATCAAAACAAAGCAGGGATAAACTGCACGGCCTAGGAACCACTTAGCACCTAACTGAACTCTTCACATCGGCCTATGAACTCATGGGGTGGAAAAAAAGTTAAATACCAGGCTCAAGAACTGCCCTGGTTGCACGGAGAAGACACCTCAGAGGGGAGGTCACAATTTCATAGTTAATTAATCCAATACAAACTGACTTACTGTTTTTTCCATTCCCTTACCCTCATTAAAATATCCTGTGATGCCCCTCAGGTTCTAACAACCAACATAAGCCATCAATATAATCTGATACACTATTACAAATTCACTCTTCCAATAAAATACCCTACCCATCACTCACAGAGCTTCTCTAGCACAAACCCACCCTGTTATACTGCTGTTCAGACCTGATGTGCATTGCTTGTCAGGTTTACCTACAAACAGTCCAATGCAGAAGTCACTTGGGAAGAGGACAAGCACTGAAGAGTTATTAATAAGAGTCATTATTCCGAAGCCTGACACTCCACCCATACACCACAGCTTCCTTTGGAGGTGCGGGCACACAGAGCCTGCTCTTCAGGCTCATCTCACAAACCCAACTGCCCCACAAAACAGAAACCTGCAGTTTTTAATTCCTCCCCTCCCTCTTTTCGGCTGCAAAAATGTCTCAGGTTGTAAGGTCAGCGCTCGGTGCCCTCTTCCCAAAGAAAGCAGGACGATTTCAGCCGCTCCCCACTCTGCACTGGGCCCTGCAGCCAGACTCCGGCCCAGACCCCCGCTGAGCACACGTGAAGCTATTGAGGAGCCCAGAAGGGTTACAGAAAGCAAGCAGCATGGTACAGACAGCAGCTGCCGAGGTGTCGAATCAACTCGGCAGCAGTTAAAGGTAGTGCAGTTCAGCCTCCTCATCTGTGGCGATGAATCACGCCTTACTTATTCAGCTGCGACTCTCCTCACAAATATATTCTAAACAGAAATCCTTGAATATAAAAACTGGATTTCGATAGCTGCTACAACAACAGGCTGCTCCTTCCACTATCAGACATAAGCTCGGCAGATCTCTGCTTACCTAAAAATCAGGCAGAGAATTACACCAGTGACAGAAAGGTGAAGGATTTATCCCTAGGGCAAGAAAGCAAAGGACAAGTACCTTCAACAAGTACCCTCACGAAGGTGCAAGCCATGCTCAACTGCAACTGCTCCGTGCTCAAAGGGATTTCTTGCTCTGGTAACCTGTTGGCTGCAGTCACGCCGCTGAAACCTGACTGCTGGACGCATTCACAAGGACTGGCTTCAAGCATTAACACTTCAGTCAGGATCTACCGCACACTATGATAAGCCTAAACTCTCAAGGTCTGTATTTTTCTAGGGAAACAAGCTCTCATAAGCCATCTCCCTTAAGGAAACATTTGAAAAGGCCGAGTGATGACTAGAAAAATAAACTTTATTTAATAGTTTACTCTAAAAACCAGGTAAATTCCTGTAGACAAGATTTGGTATTCTACAATTTGTTTTTTCCCTTTGAAAATAAGAGTTGTGCTCATACCCCACTTGTACTTTGTGAATTTCCAGAGAAGCGATTCTATTGACTTTCAAGATTGGCCATGATCCAGTTTTCTCCTGTCTCAGAATTAAGTTATATCTGTGGAAAACAGATATACTTATCAGAGGTGCCAGGAACTATTCACTCAGACTCTGACAACAAATTATTTTAGACTACTCAAACATCCAGCTCTCTTGTCTACTTAGCATGCCAATTTGTAGCTTCTAATATGATTCTATTCAATAAAGCCTTGGACAAGCAAAACAAAAATGAAATAAAAGGAAATATAGCGTAACTTATGTGATTAGTCACAAACACTTAGGATACCCGCCTGAGATTTTACATGTATACAACATACATGTGATTTTGAAAAACTGTCTAGTTCCGATAAGCATAACAAAATGTAGTAATCCATGCAAAATATAATTTCCTATTAATAAATGTTATCTAGTGCTGTCTTGTGTGGGAGTTGCCATAATGCATCTCCTCATCTTCGATTTTAGAAGGAATTTGAGCAGACAGATTCCCAATTTTCCACAGGCTTCCAAGTGGGAAGACTAGAAGGTAACATCCATTAAAAACAAAACAAAACAAAACAAAACAAACTTTCAGTTGTCCTCTTGAAATCTCAGTTCAGGTATCACCAAGCAGTAAGCAAGATGACAGCATCCAGCTTTAGCTAAGCAAAGGTACATCCTTCCATATCACAGAATTTCTAGGTTGGAAGAGACCTCAAGATCATTGAGTCCAACCTCTGACCTAACACTAACAGTCCCCACTAAACCATATCCCTAAGCTCTACATCTAAACGTCTTTTAAAGACTTCCAGGGATGGTGACTCCACCACCTCCCTGGGCAGCCTGTTCCAATGCCTAAAAACCCTTTCAGAAAAGAAGTTCTTCCTAATGTCCAGCCTAAAACTCCCCTGGCGCAACTTAAGCCCATTCCCCCTCATCCTGTCACCAGGCACGTGGGAGAACAGGCCAACCCCCACCTCGCTACAGCCTCCTTTAAGGTACCTGTAGAGAGCAATAAGGTCGCCCCGAGCCTCCTTCTTCCATCCCTAAACACCTGGTTTCAGTCCCTAAAACAGTACACTGCAATACAATAGTCTACAAAGCACACAAAGCTGAAAGTAACATACTTAAATACAAGTGCCACTTCATCAAGTTCAACACAGATATTCGTGTTGCTTTTAGGGCACAGAAGAACTGGATGTAGGGACAGTGCTACCCTTCCACTGGGGGTCGCAATCACATCCTGTTAAAAGCAATTTTTATGGCAATTGGGTAGTTCAGTTGCTAAAGGTACGAAAAGTCCCAGCTGGGAATACAGAGTACCTTATATTTAAAGAAAAAAAAAAAAAAAAAGCTTCCTTTTAAGAGATTTAGATTTGCTCTCCTCCCCGTCACCCAGAAAGACAGCAGTGATCAAGAGTGCCTCACTGTGATTGATGCTGTACAGAATCTGCCAAGCAACCTGGATCTAGAGCACACTAATGATGGGTGGAACAAGAGACCTGGACTGAAAAACCAAAGCATGGGCCACAGTTTTGATTGTGGTGGTTTGTGGTTTTGTTTTTTTAAACTGGTTGGTTTTAAACCAATATACCGCCTACTATTCATCAACTCAGGTAATGCTCTGCGCTGTATAAACAACTTTGCCAGACGTGCCAGGAGCTTCTGCCGTCAGCCTTCCCAGGAGCTGCCCTCTGCTCCACTCTGGACGGAGGGAAGGGGGGAATTACTTAGGAACACCCCAGTCCTCCCCGCAGCTACTACCGGGCTGTCTGAGCACAGCAAAGCTCTCCTCTACCGCGCTCTGGGCTGCGGAGGATAACCCTAACCCATCACTTCCATCCCCAAGGCTTTGAAACAAGCGTTCCCGTGGATCCACGAGAAGGCTCGGGGACACAAATGGCCGGCCCCATTTACTCAGAGGTTACTCCAGCGACGGCACCGAGTGCGCCAAGCCCTGCTACAGGGACTCGCCGAGAGCGTGCAGCTCCCGACTCCTCCGGCTCCTCCGAAAGCGGAGCTCGCTTGGCACCAAAGGAAAGGCACCGCAGAGCCTGTAGGAGAAGCGGTGCTTCTCCTTCCCTCGCTCCACCCCGACACAAACCGGGGGGGGCCCGCGGTGCCCCCACACAAACTGGGGGGGCCGGGCTGCGCTAGCAGCTGCAGCGCGTTACCCCCACCTCCCCCTCCCCAGCCGCCCGCGGCTCCTCTCCCCCTTCTCTCTCCCCTCTGCCCAGACAGGAAGCAGCCGCACAGCTCCGCCAGCCCTCACAAAAGGCTTTTCGGCAACAAACGCCCCCTCCCCAGCCCCCAGCCCCCTTCCCCGGGGCTCACCCTCGCTGCCGTACTGCTTGCCGTTGCCTGCGCCCATCCCGCCGGCTTCATGCCCGCCGCCGCCGCCGCCGCTGCCCGCCGCGCACCATGGCCACCGCGGGCAGGGGCAGGGACATGGGCAGGGGAGCGGCGCCCCCCGGCTCCCCCCAGCTCCTGGCCGGCTCCAGTTGTAATCCACGGGGCCCCGCCGCCGTCCGCGGGGGCTCCTCCGTCTCCTCCTCCTCCTTCTCCTCGCAGCTCGGCTGCCTCCCCCCCGGGAAGCCGCCGCCAGCCACTTGTTGCTGCCGGGCAGGGACGCAGGGAGGGAGGCCGCCGGGCAGCCCCGCCGCCGGCTTTTGTTAGCGGCAGGCGCCTCCCAGCGCCGCCGGGACGGAGGGAGGAGGGAGGCAGGGAGGAGGGAAGGAAGCGAGGCCCGGCCCCGGCCTGGAGAGACGGGGAGGTTGGGCCGGGGAGAAGCTCGCCCAGCGGTCCCCTGCAACCCCAAACTCGTTAATTACCGAGGGGAGGCTCCTCTGCAGCTCCCGTACTCTTTCGCCTCCAGGGACGGGCTGCTGTGGGGTCCCAGCTGCCTCTGACAACTGCGTTTAAGGGGGTGGATTCCGTCATAAAGGGAGCCCAGCAGCACCCTGACACCACAAGGGAGCCCGCCTGGCAGGCACACACGGGAGAGGGAGGTGTGGGGAGACCACCCCCAGCAGAGGGTGCCTGTAACGCAGTGTGCCCCCAGCCTCATATGTGTGAAAGAGCCTGTCTGTGTAAATGTCACAGACTCACTGAGGTTGGAAAAGGCCTCTAGGATCATCACATCCAGCCTTTAACCTCACACTGCCAAGTCTACCATTAAAGCCTGTCCCTAAGCGCCACATCTACATGTCTTTTGAGTACCTCCAGGGGTGGTGACTCCACCACTTCCCCGGGTTGCTGTTCCGATGCCTCACAATCTTTCAGTGAAGAAATGTTTCCTAATATCCAACCTAAACCTCCCCTAGCACAACCTGCAGCCGTTTCCTCTTGTCCTACCACTTGTTGCTTGGGAGCAGAGACTGACCCCCCACCCCAATACAGCCTCCTTTGGGGTTGTTGTTGAGGGCAAAAGGTCTCCCCTAAGCTTCCTTTTCACCAAGCTAAACAACCCCAGCTCCCTCAGCCACTCCTCATTAGACATCATCTCTAGGCCCTTCACCAGCTTTGTTGCTCTTCTTTGGACACACTCCAGGACCTCCATGTCCTTCTTGTAGTGAGGGGCCCAAAAATATATCCCAACACACGCTGGACAATAGATAATATGTAGATAATTTTGAGCAAATCCTTTCTTGGTCAGCATTTGCAAATGGAATATGAAACTGCAGAGCCTGAAACATAAACACTGGCAGCATTACGAATAGTTTCTAAAACCTGAAGTTTTGTGGGTATTTAACTTGAAAATAAATATATATGTGTATATACATATATGCATTTTCATTAAGAGGTGAGCTAATTACCTGAAGCTGAAATGAGTGCCGTTAGCACTAATGACCGAGAAGTCATCAGGCAACTTTAATTATACTCTAATCCCATCAAATACAGGTCATTAAGGCTTCTCCTTGCAAAGAAGTTTTGGTTGTGATTCAAGATGCCTACATACATCCCTCAGTTCTCACAAATCAGTGAATGACTAGGAAAATCATTCCTTCTGGGGCCAGACTCATTAGATTACCATCTGAGCTTCCTTTGAAAGACAATGTGAATTAGCCTAAAAATACAGTTTTCTTGACTCAAAGGTTAATTTCTAACCACTAATATTAAACCAACTTTGTCCTGTGCCAAGGCAGGCAGGCTTTGACACAAGTGTCTGCTTTGAATATGCATTTTGAGCATTACCTCTTCAGGCCATGGGGAAGAAGCATCCCGCCTTCAGATCTGTAAAACAGGAAAAGATAACGGTACATGGTTACAATTTGCTCTACGTACTGCCAGCAAAGTATTCCTTCTCCTGCAGTATGGCTTGTAGGGTTCGAAAAAACCCTTCCAAACACTTGATAAAAACTCACCCAGGCAGAGTTTGAAGATTAAAAAAAAAGCCATGGCTTTCTGCAGGGCAGCAGCGTACCTCATCACTCAAGCCCTCGCCTCCAAGTCAGCAATGGGAGCCCGCCGTGTCATCCTCCCCTGAGCAGACACGGCAGGGCAATGCTCATCCCCAGCTGTGCTGAAGCCAGCATGTGTCCCAGCTCCATGTGCAGCCCAGCTGTGCTTAATCTTATCCTGAAATGCAGTGGCAGGAGTAGCCACTGCAAACTGCTCCCTAGGCAACCTCTCATCTCTTCATGGAACGTCATGTGCTGTGCATCCCGTGGTAGTCAACCACCTGAAAGCTTTCCTGTGGGGTTCGTAGGGCCAGGAAGGCCAACAGTCTTTCTTCTGACTCCCAGAAAGTTGTACAGTGGTTGCAGCAGCCTTTCCTGTATATGAGAGAAATTTCTTAGACTGATAGGGTACATAAACTCACATAGACCCAAGTTCATAGCTATACTTAAATATTTGTTATGCTATTCAGAAAGAACAGAGCTGCTGTGAGGAGAAACACCACGTTTTCCCTCCAAACTCAAAATATGATGCAACGTAGTTGAAATGAATCCCTTTGTCAAGAAGCATTTTTAAGAACAGCATGGAATGATGCTTTGTGAGACATGTTCAGCTGTCAAGGGAGCCTTGTAAAGAATAAAGACATTAGACAAACAAATTACCACTCCATCAAGTTTATGGCACAAAGCCCAGGAATATTCTGACATGACCAGAACTAAAAGGAAAGAAGAAGGAGAAAAAAATAAAATAAGAGAGAGAGAGAGAGAGAAAGGAAAGAACATCTTGGTATAGGAGATCTTGGTTTAGGAGCAGCTTTCAGATAAAGGACTGAATATTTCTGCTGTACATCCCATTACACTATTTCCAGAGGAGAATGAAATGAAGGGCGTGTGGAGAAACAGTAAAGTACAGAACTCATTTTGGTACAAAGACATAAAACTCTCAGCAGAAACGTGTTTGTCACAGATGATACAGCTGAAAATGCGTAACCCTTTTGTGCTAGGCATTTAGGACAGTCAGTCTTGGAGCTTCATAAGCCCAAAAGCTCACAGAGAAGTCGGGAAACGCTAGTTCAAAGAGGACCTACACGTCTTAGCTAGGGCTGAGTCATCTTACAGCCATCCAGTATTTACCAAACACTTGGTTCATTCTGGGATACACTGTGGGAGGCTGGGAGGCCTGTTATCCATAGGCATATGGTTTGGGGCTCAGGGCCATTACGGTGCCTGTGGATGAGACCTAAGAAGATTTTTTATTTTTTAACAGTTTCATAGGTGTTTCACCCCTTCTTGACAAAGTTACAGAGTAGCCTTTTTCTTGTGTGGTTGTTTTTCTTTTTGTTGTTGTTCATTTGTTTTGTTTTGTTTTGTTTTGTTTTGTTTTGTTTTTAATCCTTGTCTTCTAGTTGGTCAATACCTTGTTTGTGAACAGCTTGCTTATTTGGCTCAAACTACAAATACAGTATATTTGTACATCAATACGGCAGACTGGTGGGAGTCTCTGGGCTGTGACTAAGCTCATCTCCCTGAGCCACATGATATAATTCCTTTGCAAAACTCTTTATAATGACCCTTTAAGATACCCTAGCCTTCAAAATGGTACAAAAGATCCGAAAGCACATCAGTTCTGCCACATTTTCAACAGTCAAAAGGAGAGGAAGTACTTTCCATAAGGACAAGAACAACTTTGTGGTTTGTTGTCTCTTAATACAAGCAGCATGCACCCACCAAAAAGGGGAGGAGATGGAGTACTATCAATTGCTATTCTTACAAGAGTGGGAAAGATTTATCATTATATGAGATTTATCTTCCTATAGTGCCATTTTCCTTCTTCATGAGGAGACATCAATGCCTTTTTCTTAGACTTGTATCCCATCCCAGTACAAGGAATTTAAAAATTAATAGGGCTGAGAAAGAAAAAGAAAGCTATGGGCCAAAATGTTTCTATTTGGATGTGTTGCTACAATCCTTCCTGGGAGTGTTTGCATTACATCTCTATTCATTATGGGCCTCCCTCTGTGGTGCATTACATGTCTCATGATGCACCATGTTTCTATTCCATGAATAAAACCACAGCAATTTTGGAAGAAGTAGCCAAAGAAAGGGTTCTGAATAAAGGAAAAATAAATAAATTTGAAAGCAACTGAACTATTTCCATAAGGCATCATCACAGCAATTCCAAGATTAAATATTTTGGCTCTGGAATTTTTGCCACAGTTGTGGTGGTTTGTTTGTTGTTTTTTTTTTTTCTTCTCCTTCAGTTTCAGCCTAAGTTTTCCTTTTTGAATTCCACCCCTCCCTCCCCAGAAGGAAGGAAGGAAAGAAGGAAGAAAGGAAGGAAGGAGTAAAATAAAAAAAAGAAAACCTTCCACCTACTTCCAACTAGCTTTATGTTGAACTTCAGTTGGAAAGGCATTTGTATCCCAGGACGTCAAAATTCAGCAACAAAACTAAGACTAGTCTTCTCTAAGACTAGCTTCCTATTTGTGTAGGAAGCTTTGATTTTTCACACTTGAGACATTTTAAGCATTTGTTTTCACACTTTGTATTTAAATAAAATGATGAAAAAAATAGTATTTTTTTAAAGACAGCACAAGCCAAGTAGTATTTTTCTAATTAATTCTACTTTTACATCAGCGTGTTCATATGGCTGCATATATTTTGTGAACACTCCATGATAATATCTGTGTTGACTGCTTTTGGGCACTCTGAAGTGAAAAAGAATCCAAAAGAAATTTGACTAACAAGTTACTGGCAACTTAAAGCAATTATCAAAAGCATATTGTTTTATGGACTACAAAATGATCCATGAGTATTACCTACCTCCTGAAGGAAAGAAATGTCTAGCTTATCTTCATCGTTACACATGAAAGTTAAGGCCCCATTGCCATATGACCTGAGATTATGTGTCATGTTATTTGTCAGTAGCCTTACTACAGAGCTGGGTGAACATGAGATCTACGTGGCTAAGAAGCTGCAGGTTCTCGCTGGGTTGTGTTTTAAGAGGCAGGGCTTTTGGTGAAGTCTGCTCCGCAGGAGGATAACTCTCGCAGTGTATCCTCACATGAGGTCAGGCTGCTCCAGCCACGCCAGGGCTCTACTCCCAGAGTGACTTCAACAGGTTTCATTAAAAGGCATTAAATCAAGGTGGTGCTCCAGTTCTGGGACACTTTGGACTTGAGCACGTTTGTCGTATGATCAGTGCTGATGGAACCGCACAACAGACGAAGTACAGGCAATCCTACCAAATAACGATCCAGTTTTATTTGAAGCTTCTTTCAGATGTTCAACTAATTT